TATATATATATATATATATATATATATATATATATGTGTGTGTGTGTGTGTGTGTGTGTGTGTAGTAAAATATTAATGAGTTTCATTGAGCAGGAAGTCCAGAGAGCTGCAGGAGTGAAAGGAAGGAAGAGAAAGACGGATAAATGGCAAACTACTCTGGACACTCCTCACTTATCACACATGCTGCTCTTATGTGGAAAGCAGCTGAAGAAGTATGTTTATTCAGAACCACTTCTGAGAGGAAGAGCAGATGGTCCCTTGTGTTGCTTGTAATATGAACTCTAATGTGGAAACTTGAAACGGTATCAAACATAAGGACTCGTGAAGTGTTCATTTCTCTTCTTTTCAGTATTTAAAAAATAAATTACAGTAGGCTTTTTAAAGTGCCTGTTTAAAATGTGTGTTGTGAATTTGTGTAATTTATCTACTAAATAAATTCTTAGTTATGTGCTTACAATGCCCTCAGTTTCCTCCCCCCCTCATGCATAATACAAGTTCAGATGCAAAGCTTTCTTACTTTGACATGAAAAATGTAAAAAATACAAAGGATACTCCAGAAAACGCACAGTATGATAGCAATGATTATTTATTAAACAGCAGGCAACCTCTAAAAATCTCTTTAGAAAATGCTTTTGTATTGGCGTTATATGAAAAAACAAAGACAGGCTATAACATGGCACCATGCATGGGTTTTTATTTAACACTCAGGAAACAAACTATGCCAAATCTTCCAGTTTAAGGTGGCACCATTCTTGAGCATCATTAACTTTAACCCTTTGACACATGGAAGTTATCAGATTCTATTCACAGTACTTAGAGTATATTTGTACAGTGCACCATAAAAGTGTTTATACTGCTTGGCTTTCTGAAACATTACAAAGAGGAATTGCAATGCATTATTTCATTTTGTTTGATAAGATCGATGAGATGTCTGAATCCGATTTTTTTAGGTTTTCTAGTAAAGGTGGTACATTTCCAAAAACTGGCTTGCTGGACCGATCTGTGTTTTCATCTGATAAACAGAGATAAAATCAAGTCGAACCCTTATGTAATATTCTATCCTAAAATCCTGGTAAAACAAATCAAAATTTGAGGTTAAATAAATTCTGAAAATGTTCAAGGGGTAAAACTACCATGAAAAAACAAAAACAAACAAAAAGTAAAATTGTCTGATCCTACGTTGTTTAAAGAGAAATAATTTGCTTTGACTCTTTCATGTTTACAGAATCTTCGTCAGTAAAAAGTTTACAGCATGTTCAAATTAAATAAAAAGAAAAATATTACAAATATGCCTCAATAAACTGAGGCTGTAATGTTCATATTAGTTAGAAAATCCCATCTGTCCTTGCAAGTCATTACTATGTGGGTTTTAATTAGAGTATACTGAAAGTAGAAAGCGTAGGATTGGAGTGCTACTCTATGTGCAATATAACTGTAGGTTTATGGTTTTAGGAGAAAAAAACAACAAAAAAAGCAAAACATGTTTGAACTGAACAAACAAACCTATCTTATTCTTAAAAAATCAGATTATGGGAACTTCACTGTCAAAAAGAAGTTAAAAAAAACAATTTGCCAAGATTTACTTCACAGTTTGTATGAATGACAAATCCCATATTTCGTTAGAATGGCCTGAACTTTCAACCTGGCTTTAAATAAGGTTAAAAATCCCCTTTGTGCAGAAGTAGTTCAGCCATAATTAAAGTATCACCCCACCTCATACAGAAAATAACAATGAATACAAGTATTTATTTCAGAGCAATTTTTTTTTTTGTTTTAAATCAAAGTGTAATCCTCTCAGATTCCAGTTTTTAAATTACCAACAAAATAAAACAATATGAATCTAATAAAGAAACTGCAGAAAGAACCTACATTGTGACCTTAAAAATACATCACAAGTAAAAATGAAGCACCGCATAATTACACTGAATATTGATTTCAGAAAGATTAGGGGCAGACTATTTTAAAATAAAAATAAAATATTAAATGTGGAATAACTGAGCTGTAGTAAAAATGTCTAATTGCTCTGGGATTACATATTCTTTTCAGGCTCAGTATAAGTATTACATAAAAATGTAATTTAAATGCATGTATTAATAAGTGTATCCATTTAAATTATTACCTAGTTTTTTGTGATTCTACTTTTTAAATACAAAAGTCAGTGAGACATTCATGAACAACTCCATTTAAATATTTGAAAGATGCTCTTTAAGATTTTTTTTAATTTTATTTTAATTAGAAAACCAACACTTCCCATTTCCCTGGAGTATAAATATAACGTAACATTGAGGTCTTTTTCGTTTAGCCACTTCACACCATGCAAGGTAAACATAGTGATAAGGGACATAAAAAAAAAAAAAACCAAACAAAAAAAAAAAAACAACCTGAGCTTCATGTTAGGACAATGCAACCAGAGCAAATATCTTTGTGTAATCTATATTTTCTTTTTCTTTTTTACAAATATAACAGAGAAGTTAATTTTGGAGATTGAATGATGCCAGAAACTTTTCCCTGCCTTTCACCATTAGAAACAAACATGTTTGTTTGCTACTAATATACAGTAAAAAAGCATGAATTTAGTTTATTATTAGGAGATAAAATAATTTTTGTTAACGTAAGGAAAAGTTTATTGACTGCTGTGGCTTAACCTGAGAATACCATCTTGTGGGCAGTAAGAGCAAAAACTTTATTTCTAATATTGTCTCTAACAATAAAACATACATTTAAGGCAAGTTCAATACATTTTACTACGAAAAAGCTTGATCAATATTGCATTTGTTAACTGACCAAGTTTTATAAAAGCAAAACCTTGAAGGACTTACCATTAAAAAGGAAAGAACATGTGAAGGTTCAACTTGGCTTCAATCAAGAACATTTTAAGGCAAGTCACTGGATAGTGAAAAAAATTCACCCATTAGAAAAAAAGAAAATCATCCCTGAGTCCTTCTGAGGTACAATGGAAACAAGAAAAAGAAATGGGTACAGAAAAAAGAAAATAATTGAATTGTACATATTCTGTTTAATTAACTATGAGTCAGTTGGCTGGAGTCAGTGTTTTTTTTCATATTTCTGGCATACACAAAAACCATTTGGAAACACGGTTTTGTTTCTTAAGATCCTGTGGGGGTCCATCCATATAGTGGCCGTACTCTGCGATGGCATCTTCAACCCGAGTCATGTACAGCCAGGTGACGATCACCCCAAAAAACTAAACATAGACAGAAAAATAGGACATTGGAAGTGAAAAAAATATATCAGCAGAGAATGGTCATATTTATCACCTTTTTGGAAATTAAAACAACTTTGTTTTTTAACAAACTGTAAATTGTAGAACATTTGTACAGGTTTTAGAAACTAAATTTAGAAACCACAAAATCCATTACACAAAGTGATACATTTGATATGTGTCTATTTCCTTTCATTTGATGATATTATTCAGAGGTGTTAAAAATGAATTTATTTTCTAAGGGAAACATATTGACCAGTAAAAAGTTATATTTAAACCATGATGATGACTGCTAGCTTGACAGCTTTCTAACATAAATTCATTGGCATAGTTCACAACAAATGATAAAAATAAAAATTATTGTTTAGGTAAGATGTTAAAAAAGCTGTATGTATGTGGATTCTTTTGAAAATTGGGTGAAAGGAAAAACTGTGATCCAGAAGATTTAAAATTCAAGTCAAAATCTAGCAGAGTATAATGCTAAGAAAGTTTAAGAGGGCTTTAAACTTCTAAATGGCCTGTACTTATCTAGTGCTTTGGTCAAGTCTCCTGACTTGACCAAAGCGCTTTACACTACATTCAGTCATTCAGTCACACACTAATGGTGGAAAGCCACATTGCAGCCACAGCTGTACTGGGGCTCACCATCAGAAGGCATTGCAGGTGAAGTGTCTTGCCCAAGCACACAACGACACTGAGTTTGAACCATTCAGTTGCAAGAAAAACCTCCTGAATCTGACGCCACTATCGCCCTATGGACAAAACGAACACATGTAAGCTTGCAACATTTCTCCCAGACTTTCCCTTACCTGTCCCTGGTGCTTTCTCAGCTGTAACAACAGTTAAATCCCTTATTATGCTTCTTCTGAACCGTGAATGCATGCCGTGGTGCGTTGAACGCACCATGACCATATACATGATAAAGCAGAAGACTGACACCAGACGTGAGGTTGAGCAGAGCTGAAAGCGAGCATCGGAGTTTTTAGCAAACCAGCAAGAAGCAAAACAATTTGCACTGTTTTTTCCCAACAAATTGTGTAAGATGTGTAATATTGTTTCTAAATGAGACTTGTTGGTTAACTGATGAATGAAAAACATGCTAATACATCAACATGTTAAGCTAGTTAGTCATTTAAAATGTTGCTACCTCTGTGACATTACTCACTCATTAGTTTATTCTTCGAATAAACCCAATCCACTTTAATTTCTGAGCAGACATTGTGCTCACATTTGCTCTCCACATATTTGAAATAAGTCTTTAGGTCACAATAAACAGAGTTGGGTCTGGAAAGAGATAAAAAAAACAAAAAAACAATGGCATTAAAGTGATTTTAAAGTTAAATGCCACAGCATGTTGTACTGCTTCTCTTCCTAATTTCATCTCAAAATGTAGCTTTCTACATTTTTTTGTGTTTATTACCATGATGGGGAGAGAAGAGTCAGGAACGTGAAGGACTAAAGGCCAGCAGCAGAGAGAATGATGGGTTTGCACAGGTAAGGAGATATTAGAACTGGACTATCTATTGCAAGGGGAACCAAGAAAGCAAGTATTTGCTCACTGGAATCATTACTGATCATTTCATGTCCAGTATTTGGCATTTCTGTGAGATGTCATTTTGTCACTCAAATAGAGATTTGCAGCTAAAACTTCTTTTTTCTTTTAGTAAAGAATTAGCCAAGTTGGTCCCCTGGTGTTGGGCTGTGAAAAAACGGAAAGCAGAATAAAGTGCAAGCCTCGCTAAATACAGTTGGCCAAGTCTTCTTGCTAAACCTGGTCCTGGAAAAGGACATTTTTGTACCATTTCTCTGTCTCTCTAATGCATCACTGACTTCCGCGACTCAACATGTCAATTAACATCGAAAAATCTGCGCTGTGGCGGGAGGTGGTGAGCAAATTCACTTCCTGTCACCTCAGGGCGCAGCTCTCCTGCGCCCCGAGCCCTCCCATACCTTTGCATTGCAGAAGATCTACTGCCCATGTACAACTTTTAACGAAAGTCAATGGGCAAAGATTTTTGTGCCCTAAGGTGGAAATGCGTCCCCAGTTCAACGAAAAAAATGTAATGACGCTTTACTAGTCATTAAAGATTAAATGTTTATTTTGAACATCTAAAAAAATATATACCGTATTCATATTCAAAATATTTTACATTTTAATTTGACATGAAATTATAAAAAATTATAGAATGTTTTTTTATGTCTTAATCAGGGTCGTTGGGTGTGGGGTGGCACCCTAGTGCCCTCTATTGGCCAGCCGCCATTGGTATAAAGCCATTGGTATAAAATTTCTTCCATTGTCTTAAAAAATTAATTGAATGTCAAAGAAACATAATTTTCAGAATAAGGTCCCTTCATCAGGTTAAAGATACAAATCAAGAAATGACAATAACACCATGGGCCGATCGACGGATTAAAATAAAATCTCTGTTGACAAGTATGAGTCAGGCTGATCATCTTCATGCTGGTTGTGCAAGTTTAGAAACTAGACAGTCTAAAGCAGGGGTGTCAAACCGGTTCCAGAAAGGGCCGTGTGGCTGCAGGTTTTCTTTCCAACCAACCAAGAGCGCACCAGACCCCAGTCATCTCATCAACTGAGTGCAATCTAAACATGATGACTTGATGAGATGAATGGAGTCTGGTGCGCTCTTGCTTGGTTGGAAAGAAAACCTGCAGCCACACGGCCCTTTCTGGAACCGGTTTGACACCCCTGGTCTAAAGTCTATACACTGTACATTTATGCACTAAAAATGTAAAGGTATTAGTAGAAAAAACATTCTAAAATTTTGAGCAAGTGGATTTTGGATCCAGAATGCACACCTGGTTTCAATACAAAGTGAAACTTATAGTTAGTTCTAAAGAGTTAAAGTAGTGACAGTGACAGAACTAAAGATATTGAGAAACATCTCAGCATGGTGTTGCTGTCAGATCTTTGAAAAGGACCTGAATATCACCATACACAAGAAAGACTGATGGGCTTTAGTTATTTAAACAATATTTTGCATCCATGCTATTCTTATGCCATAACAATTGCGTTGTGTTGCTCTAGACAGGGACCTACAGTCTGTCTTCTCTTCTCCAGCTGAAGAAACTGCCAGACCCCCTAGAGTTAGATGTAGCCAGCACATCGATAACAACCACGTACCCTAAGCTCCCAAACAGAACTTTATTGGATATTATAGAGCATTTTAGCTTCACAGGTAAAATGTGCAAGACCTACTGGTATGTGGATTAACTGTGCTAACTACCATTCCATTTGCTTTGCAGGGTTTGTTCAGCTGAACTCTAAGGCTTTGAAAAGAAGAGCCTAAATCTAGCCTCACATTTAAAATCTATTTTAGGGTGGTGGTGGCCTAAAGTTAGGGCATTGCACTTGGATGCCATAGGTTCTGAGTTCAAGCTCCACTCACACGGACTGCCACTCTGGGTACTTGAGGAACACCCTTAACCCAAACAATGCTCCCTTGGTGCCACACAATTGCAGCCCACTACTCTCCAAGGGGATGGGTTAAATGGAGAGAGCAAATTTTATTGCTTTGTACTTGTAACAATGTAATGACAATAAAGTTGAATTCTATGCTATTCTATTCTATTTAAGCAAGATTTAGGAGGTCAATGTCATACAAAAATCTGGAGAAGAGTCCAGCGGCTTGAATTTGTGCTTAATACTTTTTTAAACTTCTCTTTCTATTCGCCACCATTGCCATCCCTTTGGTTTCTATAGGAAGAGGGAAAAGGGTTCTGTGTTTGGATATCCCAGAAACTGTATTTTGCCAGATCCAGTGAACAAACAGCATAATGACTGTTATGTACTGTTGCCTGTTTTGTAGGCATGCAAATGATTTTGCATCTGCAGGAAATTTCTTCTGAACAATACTTTAGATTAAGCTGAGTCTTGACACTTGAAAAGGGGAAAATGAAACAGTCTTCTAAGTGAAGGAACAGATTAATATATTTGGTGCCATCTGAACATAAATAACAATAATGAGAAAACCCCATTATATACTATGGATGACTGCCAGCTGGCATTTTAACCTTCTTACAGAAAGAGCTCTGTGACATCCAGCAACCTTCTTACAGTCTTAGCCAATCAACATTCATATATTCATAGCTGTTGAAGGGCTCATATCTTAATGCATTGCATAATTTCCAGAAAGAGGTACAAAGGCAGAAATGTCAAGAGGAAAAAAAACTTCAATCCATCTTTTACCCAAAGTGTAGAAGATTGGATGTGAATAAAAAAAATAAATAAATAATATTTATATATATATATTATAAAAGCCTAGAGTAGGTTAGTAAGAGTCAGTTACTCCGGAGGGCCGTTCATCCAACACAACAATAAATGGAAAATATGGAAATGCACTGGAAATGTAAAGGAAATGAAGCAGCATGTTGTTGCAACTTGCCTTCTGTGCTCCTGTTGACGTAAGGTTGTCAAATTCACTGGGGGTGGATATATACGTTCAGCCATTTAGTCATCCAATTTGCATCACAGGCTGGAAAACATGGCTAAATGTCTGATCCTAAATGTTGTGCTTCTGATTCACAGATGTGTTATGACTGTTTAAAGTGTCTCTCATCTTGGTGTGTGGGAGGGATTTTGACTAAGCATTTTACACCTTCTGGTCAGCAAAGGAGGAACTTAGAGAGTTGAAAATGTTGGTGGGTGTAAAAATAAACATGTCACAATTTAAAGGTGTCATTCTGTGATGGCAGCAAACCTAACAGCCATCAAATTTCAATTCAACATATCTTATGGGGTTTCTTTTATGACAGACAAACACAAAGCATTGCACACTTACTTGGCAAAGAAAGAAAATCATATCTATATCCCTCAATACCCTTAAATAAAGTAAAGTGAAAACAAAGGACAGCAGAAATTACGAAGTTAGTAAATTGAACTTTTGGGTCATTGGATCAGCTGGCCTATAAAGGCTTCAGGGGTTTATTGCAGAACATAATCAAACCAACAGCTTTATGAAGAGCAAACCTAAGCTGTGGAGAGATTTAAAGAAGGTTATGGTGCTCAGACAATACCCCAAGCTTTTAATATTTTAGAGAAAAGCCCAGCTGTGGAGGAGCCATCCACCTGCACTAACAGGTTGAGGAAGGAGATCAATAATAAGAGAAGAAGCGGCTAGATGTCCAATGATTAATCTGGAGGAGATGCAGAGATCCACAGCTTAAGCAAAAAAATCTGTCCTCATAAAAGTTATTAGTTGTGCACTTCAATAATCAGATTTTTATGGAAGATTGTTAAGACTAAAGTTGAAAGGCAACCACAAGAAGTCTTGGCACCAATGGAGACGGACGAGACCTCAAATAACCTTTCTTTGTTAAATACAAAATGCTTTGTGTGCAGAATAACTGATTCTATATATGATCGTTAATAGTTCAGGCTTTTTAAAGACAAAGTAATCAAAATGTAGTTGTGCTACATAGAGCAAATGGTAAAGTGCAAAGAATTAAGGGCAGTCGTTAATCGTTGTGCAGCTCCAGGAAACAAGAATTGATACCAAATACTTTTCCAACACATTTTATAAAATTGCTAATTTTCAATTAGAACAATTTCTCCCTGGGTTACTTCAGTAATGCATAACATATACATTTCCACATCACACCTTCCACTCAGCTGCACAGTTTTATGCACTTATTAACCTTTATGAGCAGCTTTTTTAATAAATGATCATATTATATCTCTGTATTTAAACATTAGGTTCATTTGAGCATTTCTTTGTACTTTTTAAGTAAAAGTAATTAGTCCACAGTTCCAAATGGAGGAACCGCTTGTGTTGGGCATCATTAACACCAATACAACTGTTAGAGAGTGAATCAAGTGCTCTACTATGTGTTTGTACCTGGGGCAGAAAGATAACTAACAATAGTATGGCCATCTTCTTATAGTTGTCGATCACCCAGATGAAGAACGCATCAGTGCAGCCTCTCACATGGATGACATCCTGCAATTCTATCCGCTGCAAAAGAAAAAAAAATCCTTATAGTTGCTGCATTGATTTTAAATATAAAAGTTAAAGCAAAGATTGTTTCTTTTAATGCAAAACATGGGCACTCTTGCATCGCATTCCATCTTAAGTGATTACTTAAGTTTTGATTCCAACTTGCACTTGATCCTGCAGGGATTTATGGCTATGGAGGTAAGAATGAGTGGCTGAATACGCAGCAGTAGATGTTGGGTTACATCCAGCTGCCATGGAGACGGTACTACATGAAAACCCTCTGCTTCTGTTTCCAGAGTTTTAAACAATTTGCCTTTAATTGGCAGTTTAAATAATTGTGTTGTGCATAAAAAAGAAGAGATGAATAGAAAACCAGATAATGAAGTAAAGAAACTGTATTTTAAAGTGTTCAAACTTTATGACCTTAGTAATTATATTTCTACGATATCTTACCGTTCGGTTCTGTACCCCGTTTCCACACAGAGAGTTGACCACTTCATTAGGCTGTTAGGAAGAGAAGGAAAGATAAAGATATATAATGTTAGGAATAAAAGTAAACATTTAATTGAGTATAAAAAGTAAGAAGGCTGTTTTTAAGTTTTTTGTTCATACTTATATAACGATAGCTACAATGCTAATAACATGACTGCCTGGGCCTGCCTGTCAGCATGAGGCACTGGTGTATAAGTGTGTACTGAGTTTTCCTTATTCATACATGCACATGTTTATTTATGTTAGAAAACAAAAACCAGAGGGAGATAAAATGTGTCTTTTGCCATTGTTAAGTGGATTGTTTAATGATAATATGATATACTAGTCAGAAATCCAGGAAGTTTTTAGAGTTATGAATACATTTGCACTTATTGGTGGACAAGGGTGTTGTTATTCGAATCAAAAATAAATTAGACCCCCCATTTACATTCAAGGATTCAGTTTCATTTATAAATCCAATTTATTTAAGTTTGCATCTGTGTTAATATAGGTTAACAAGAAGTAGTTCATGGTGTGTGGCATTGCAATGTAAACCTCATAAAGACCAATTTATTTATACTGCCACTTCACAGTAAAACTTTAATCTATTTATTTAACTCAATTCAATTCAAAGGGTGAATTTCATGGTTTCATTAAGACAAATGTTAGTTTTTCTAGAAATGACTTCTTGAAGCACTATATGGAGCCAGATCTTGTGAGCATCTCCAAATTTCTCAAAATTACAATCCTTTAGAGCAAGGCTATGTGTTGGATGTTTTTTTCTTCCTTCTACTAAACTTTCCATGAATATGTCAGAAGCTTTTAATTTAAAGTTAAAATGAAAAAAAAAAAATTGCTGTCAACAAAAGCCTCCAATATACCTTTAACCTTTGCAAAAACAAGACATACCTTTTTAATAGTGAGTTAGCACATATGAACAACTATGTAAAAAAAGCATAAATGGTTACAACTACAAAATATGAATGCTTTTTCTCATTCAGTTGTGTAAATTGAATGCAGCTAT